CGGATCCCATCTACACTAATGCCGCAGTGGCTTAGCTGCCGCCGTGTTAAGAAACCTAGTAGTGAGAGCTAGGAAATAAGAATAGCAGACCGCAGACTGATGCCGGCTCCTTCGTTTTTATATCCGATTCGAAATGGGCTTCGATTTGATGTTTTGCCAGCCTAATACGCTGGGAGAAGTCAGAGGCTCCAGTATCCCCTGTGCAGGGTATTCAGCATGGTTTCGACGCGTATAAGGCACCCAGTCTGAGATGATGCTTCGTGGCTATGCCTAGCCAGCCAGCCAGTCAGTGCGCTGCTGTGTGACTTGGGGGCTAAATTGTAGGAGTATGGCAAGCAAGCGCTAGGAGGTTTGGGTCTCGTGTTTCATGTGTCTATTGGCTCACAAAAATGCTTGAGTACTAGAGCTGCGCATTCTGAGTGGAGCGGAGATTTGGGGGCCAAAGCCACGTCTGACATTGTCCAGGCATATATAACAAAACTGCAACCTCACTTGACTTCGTAGATGGAGTTTTCCACGAAGCTATGACAAACAGCGCTCTCCATCTACTGGGAGGACCTAACTCGCAGCCTTACGGTCCAGTACCCGTGACGGAGGATCTCTCAACCCCCGAAACAGAGAAAGCTCCTGCCTATACAACCACAACACCTATTGTTCTTGGCCTGAAAAAGAGTTCCTCGCAATCATGGTCGGCCGCGCAGATTGCCCTGACGCTGGCGATTCCACTTGTCGCACTCATCACATGGCTGGCATGCGTCCGAGCCAATCCGCGTATCTTCGACACGTTCGCGGGTGAGGAGATTGGAGGCCGACTCAGCCAAGCACAGGCAAAAGCGATTGATGTAATCACAGGTGCGATACTAGCGCCCATGTTCATGGCAGCTGTAAACTATGTGTGGTTTGCAAGCGCTCGCGTTTCCGTTGTGAACGAACAACAATCGAAACCAGTTCCACTTCGCACGCTGGTAGCTGCCAGCGGTACGTCGGGCGGGAATTACGACCTTTTCCATCTTCGCAACCTGCTTCTCGGCAAGACCTGGTCACTCGTAACCTTTGCTCTCCTGACCATTCTGTCCGCCGTGTCCAGAACAGCGTTGAGTAATGTTATTGCGTACGAGGCATTTTCTGAACTCAGTTCTTCAAAGACTTTGGCTGCTTTACGACTGCAGACCGACGCTGTCGTCAACACCGGTCTCGGAATGGACAATAATCTCAAACTGCGTTTGTACGACTTCAACATGTCTCAGAACGCCCAAGTCGCAAAGGACATGATGAGCCTTCTGACCGACCTATCCTACCAAGATGCCGGCTCGAAGCTAACCAATGGTACCTACGTGGGCGTCAACGCAACAACTCAATCGCTAAGATCTCTGCCGCCGTCCATTTCCAAGCTAGAGAACGTACCAGCCTACCGAATCTCGGTTGACTGCACCCCCGACTTGCCATTGTCAGTATCCGTCATGCAGCCCCTAGGCCCGCTCAACACACAGATCGGGCTCATGCTCAATACGACCACCAAGTCAAACAACACTATATTCCAAGCCAACTACCCAGGCGTACCAGACAACATCCGGACCGGCGACGGCGACAGCTACACATACGCTGCATTTTCTCTGGGCTACCGTGAGGCGTACCTTGGTCACTTGGAACGGTTCGACTTGTCCAACAGTACGACTCAGTCTCAATACGGCGACTTGGGCTACCGCGCCTTCAACATGAGCCAATGGGGATTCAACGGAACGCAAGATATTATGTCCATCAGCGGGTTGCGATGCGTCCTGTACCGCGAACAAGGACTCGCCAACTCGACTCGGGTCCCAAGCAACGATTCAGGCATCAGCGGCTGGACAATTGACACCACCTCCTTTCCCGCCTTACAGGAAAAGGCCATCGTTCCTTCTCTCCTCGCCAAGTTCCAATGGAGCAACTTCAACTTTCATGCCCCCGGATCCGTGATTCCTGGTCTTGGGCCGGCGCTCAACAAAATGTATGCTGAAGAAGTGGACGAGTGGGGGACCAAAGCCAACGACACTTTTACCAACTTTGCCCTTAACTTTCTCTACGCTTCGGGCGAGACGCAGCGTATTATATACGAGGTAGCGGCGTCCAGTAACAATGCTTCACGCAATCGTCCCGAATACACAATCAATGTCCCCGCATTAGAAATGCAGCAACAGTACCGTATCACGTACGTGCCAAGTATACTTCTCGTGGGTCTAGTGTGTTTGGTCGGAGCGGCTGCTATTACGGGGATTATGGCACTTTATACGCGGAAGACTCTCTCGGCAAGAGCTCATCGCCAGGTCGACGTTACCAGGCTTCTGCTGGATAGTGTGGTGGGACTGGGCGGTGAGGCGAAGGACTTAGCAAGAATAGCGCAGAGAGGGAACGATGAATTGGATGCTTGGGCGGCTGGTTACAAGATCAGATACACGAGCATGGGTGATGACGATGGGTCTGTACAGGTTGTGCTAGAGAAGACGCATTCTTAGTAAAGACTCAAATGGAGGGAGTAAGATGGAAATGAGAGAAGTAGTCAAGTTATTCAGAACGGAAGATGGTTTCATATATCTACTATGTTTTTTCAATTCTTTGATCCATGGTCTTCGTAGCTGTTGGCGTTGGCACGTCTCGGAAAGCGCAAAGTTGGTGAGGAACATTCAACCCCCAAATTCAAGAGCAGTCCCAAAGACAAGCACAGAAACGGTTGATCTAGAAGGATTATGTACGATCCGTACATCATTCGTCCAGTCGAAACCACGATACGTCTGTTTGACCACCGATCAGTACCACTTACATACGTTCACTCCATCTCACCACTCCCAGCAGCGTTGCAACCCTTCCTTTTCGCCCACACCATCATCATCACCACCACCACGTTATTTATCCTCAGCACCTCAAGCTGCGTATAATGTACCCTACCTCTCTCCCTCAAATGCCGTTGTGTACCCCCAAACCTTTCATCCACCATATCCAAACTCCTCGGCATACTTTCTCTCTTTGCACCTACCATTCGCAGCGCCGCCTGCCTCCCTTTCTCCATCATCTTGGGCGACACACTATCGAACTGCACTTGGCCCTCTTCTCCTCTTTGTACAATCCTTGCCACGTCTTCGCGCGACAGCGTCTTCCTCACCATTTCCGACCCTGCGTACTTTCCGAACGTCAAAATCTGCAACAAGCGTGCCACAATGGTATCGCTGATGTGCTCGGGTACCGGCTCACAGGGCTGCTATTCGGTTGCAATGTCGTCGCACGGAAAGCCAAGTAAGTCGAATAGCAGGCCGAAGAAGATGCCGGCATTGTCTTTGTTCACAGTAGACAGATATGTAGACAAGATGTATCGCATCTAATCATAGAGAAATTAAGTCTGAATATTACGTAGGTGGTTCGTATTCTCTAGATGACTACTATACTAGTCTGTACCTAGAGTACGTACATGCCCGTGAGCCTCGGCAACTCTACTATTGCAACATTACACCCCTGCATGTCGCGACCCCAATCGTTCAGCTATGTTCTTGTTCATGGAGATCTAAATATCTCGAAATGGAATGCATGCCGCATGCTCGTGATGCGGCTGTACGCTTCCGCAAATTGCTGATATATAACTGGGTAAGCGATCATGCTGGGTGGACAGGACCGAATACTCGGCCGTTCAGGATATATCGTGTGATGAGACTAAGGACAGATGGGAACCGTTCCAACCGCGTAGTCTATGGCGCTTGCACTCCATATGGCAGGAACCTCCGTCTTGAGAATGCTTCCAGGTATTCTAGCTACCGGCTCTGCGGGGTAAGATCAACTACTTGCCGAGTGTAGATCTGCATCAAATCTCCGTTGAAAATACGATCTTTAGCTCATTTCATTTCCACTATAAAAGTCTGATTTCCAGTAGCTAAAAGAGTTCTGCGGAGACAATCGGCAGTACAATCACCGCCAACGCTGAAAATTGTCTCTCTACAGAGCCACCGCCCAGCATGTATCTGCTCAGTCTCTGTCTCACTGCTCTCTTAGCAATGGGAGCGTCTGCAGCTCCTCGCCTGGAAAAACGTCAAATATCGTGTCTCAGGGTGGGCGCCACGGCAACAGCAACATGGACTAACGCGGCCGGTCAGACCTGTCGCTGGACTGGTATCGTAGGCAGCAACTTCGGCACAAACAACGCAAACGGCGGAGAGTAGGCAGTCCAGTCCTCGGACATATCCATCCATACAGTAACTGACATGATCCATAGTTATAGTTGTAACGGCCGGTGCGGAGCAGGCTGCTCAGGCGCTGCACTTGGCAACGTATATACACAGGATTGCTTTTCGCATGATGTATGTTCTTGGTTCAACAATGCGAGTGGTGGTGCGAGGTAAGTTGTTACAAGGAGAAGAATAATTGGAAAAGGTCCGTTACTAACATGGTACCCCAGTGATCCGAACTGCGGTGCAGCGTTCAATGCAGCAGTTGATGATACGGTTGGTGGTGCGTTGAGGGGCTGTGGACAAACGAACCCGACGAATGCTGCTGTGAGACCCAGCACTAGTCCGACATGCTCATAGCGAGTTAGTAATGGGATATGTTCTGAGAGATCCAACAACAAACTTGATTTTTGGAAATACCCCAGGAATTGACGGCTGAATATGTGTCGCTATCATCCATCGTTCAGACAAACACTCAACTCTCTAAATGCGAAGACCAACATGCATATGAGCTTCGACATTCACAACTCTTGGTAGAAGCACAGTCGGTGCATCACGGTCTCACAACAGAGAAATCGTAGATGTGGAAGCTACTCACTGAACTTTAACTCTGGGTGATGATACTACTTACCACTAGTAGTACTTAGTAGTACTTAGTAGTAAGTAACACAATATGCAACTTCAAACAACAATTTATCAATATCAAACATCGGGTAACTGTATTGTCATGAGAGACATGATAGAATCAGCCATGGAAACTGATTTAAACCAATCGCTCTCTGAAGCGTCAGCAGAAAAGACCCGAGCGACTTCTTACACAGCCCCCGCTCCTGCCTCGGGGATCTGCGCTCCTTCTTGTCCAGCCTGCGCCTTCTCCCTGCCATTTGTTTCTTGTGTCGCTTCACCACTCGCCAGTGCCTTGAAAGCACCCAACAAGTCGTTTTTCAGATCTTCCCAGCTTTCCACGCCCACACTGACACGCAACAATCTCTCGTCCACCTCAGTATCGCTCATCCTCCTCCACTCGATCAAGCTCTCCACACCACCCAAGCTAGTAGCGTGATGGAAGAGCCGGAGGTGTGATGGGAGGGTACGAGCCTGTTTCGCCTCCTTCATGTAGATGCTGAATACGGGACCGAAGCCATTGGGCATCTGCTGCTTGAGCCAGGACATGTCGGAGGTCTGGAGCGATGCGTGCTTGACTTTACTGACAACTTTCTTGACAGCTTCCGCATCTTCTCCCTTGCCATTGAGCGAATCATTCAGCCAGCGAACGAGGTTGTCGGCATTGGAAGACTGCCGCTGCACACGCAAGTCCAAGGTCCGCAGACTACGCACGCCGAGCCAACTTTCCAGATTACCAAGTACAGCTCCGAGGAAGATGCGCTCCGCGCGTAATGTCTTTGCCCGCTTCAGGCCTTCAGGTCCGGCAGATGTAGCAAGAACACCGCAAAGCATATCGCTGTGGCCGCCGATATATTTTGTTCCACTGTGCATGACAATATCGGCACCCCATTTGAATGCATCTTGGAGGCCTGGGGGTGCAAAAGTCGCGTCGACACTTAGCAATGCTCCTCTTGCGTGTGCTCGCTTTGCATACTTTGCAATTTCAAAGGCCTCGCCTGTGGGGTTTAGAGGAGTCTCCAGATGAACAAGATCGCCATTGCCCAAGCCAACAGCATCCCAGGCTGATTCGTCGGCGTGGAGATCGACTGTCTTGACGCCGTGCATCTTCTTGTGCAGGTCAATCACTCCGTGGCAGCCATGGTACCCCCCACTGATAGCCACAACCTTGGGAACAACACTGACCAGCAATGCATGAAAGGCACTCAGTCCGCTCGTATAGCTGACGACGTGGTTCGCAAGGCCGCTGCTTCCATCCAATTCGCTCTCAGTAGCATCGGGGTACATCAAAGGCGCTAAGATGGTCTCTAGACGGTTGGTAGTGGCCGATGCGAGACGCGAGTACACGAGCGGTGTTTGCAGATCCACGAATTCGCCCTCATCGGGAGCAGGCTGTAGCTTGTCTGGGTTGCGAGGATAGCGAAACGTAGTGGACGTATGGATTGGCGGGGCAACATCGGTGAGAGCGTTGATGCGATCGTCGGCATGGATGCCATAAGTCGAGGCGTGATATGAAGGCATTGCCGTGCTATTGAATAAGTATTTCACCAACAATGAAACCGAGTGGAACCGAGATTTCGGTCAGGAGGCCTTCAGTCCGTCGTTGAATCCGGTGTCGAGCGTAACGACCACGGGGTCGAGATTCCTTTATGTCAAGGCCAACGATGTCAAGGTGACTATTTTTATAAAATGTCGATATTGCGCCATATGCGGCAGAATTGCGGACCACGCATACTAGATTAGCCATATCCGCCACTACAGTGGAGCTACATCCAACAATTCCATACTAACCAGATGCAGGGCCGCCATGCTGTTGGGTAACTTGTAACACGTGGGGAGCTTGAAGCAGCAGCGGCTATGCGAATCCTGTGTGGTAGCATTGGAGTGGGTACCTTGTTCGCTCAATGTCTCCCTTCACACTCTACGTGCGCTCGGGACTCTCATACACATCTGTCAAGAGCAGCTGCGTCTCGTACATTTTGCGTCGCGAACACCACGCTGAGATGATGACGAGTGCGGGGTAGTAAAACTGCCCCGCACTCGCGACAAAATTTATCCCGAAGAACGGATGCGCTGAGACTTGGGGGGGACCATATACTACTGGGTAGGGCTAAAGAGGTCAAATGGCAACTTCTGGATCATATGTCATTCCATTCATAGCTATCGGGTTGATCGTACACTTTCATCGACGATGCCTATTTCAGAAGCAAAGGTCTATTTCGAGCAATCTCAAGTCCTCACCAGCCCATTACAACCTACTCCACACGCCTACTGGATGCCAGCAGCAACAATGGTAGGTGGCTTGCTCTTGTCCTTGATAGCACCGCTGTCAGATCCGCATGCCTCGATAGCTCGGACAACCTTGTACGACTCGACATCGCCATCAGGGACGCCGCCGAATACGACGTGCTTGCCGTCGAGCCATGAGGTGATGACGGTGGTGATGAAGAACTGGGAACCGTTGCTGTAATCTGTCAGCTCCATCCTGGTATACGAATGTGCCGGTGACATACGTGTTGGGACCGGCGTTGGCCATGGAGAGGAGGAAGGGTCGGTCGTGCTGAAGCTTGAAGTTCTCGTCGGCGAACTTGTCGCCGTAGATGGACTTGCCTCCGGTGCCCTGCATTGTAACATGTCAATCAGCTGCTTCCGAGTACACCCAGTCAGACACGTACGTTGCCGCGGGTGAAGTCGCCACCTTGGAGCATGAAGTTGGGGATCACGCGATGGAATTTGGAGCCCTTGTAGCCGAAGCCCTTCTCGCCAGTGCAGAGGGCGCGGAAGTTTTCGGCAGTCTTGGGAACTACATCGTCGAAAAGGTCAAAGTTGATGCGACCAGACTGTTCTAGAGTGCGATGGTCAGTGAGTGATAAGACACTTGGGCGGTTTGCGCAAAGAGTTGTGCCGCCGGCTGGGGTGCAGGAGTAGCTACCTTCGACCTGGCCGACCTTTGTGACCTTTCCAGTGTTGTCAACCTCGACGACGGGGCCCTTCCAGGTGCAATCGAAGTAAGCTTTGATGGCCATGTTGTATGCCGAAGGAGTGAAGAAGCGTTTATGGACAGAGGCGCGGAATTGAGGAGCTGCACGGAAAGCAGATAGAGCAGAGGCTCGAGGTAGGTGGGGCATGATGCAGACGCGGGGTGTAGCGTCTAACCTGAATGGTAGTCAGTGCCATGTGCCTTGGCGGTGAATCGTGGTGAGATAATAGCAGCGTGTTTGCCTGTGACGCAACATGTGCGTGGCACCTTGAGGCTGAAGTGCAGTGAGGGTGAATAGATAGGGTGCTGTCTTACCGTAGCTATTCTTCTCCAAACGGACGACCAGCGGCTCTTGCGACTGCGCACTCAACGGCTGTGCGCGGGGGCGGTAAATATGCAGTGACAGTGCTCAATGGCACGGCTATGCAATCAGACGTGTGAAAAAGAGACAAATATAGTACAGGTGGTGGCACAGACTGATGCGAAGTCGCTGGCGGAGCAGGCGAATGGCAGATGGGATAGAAAACTTTGGATAGTACTTAGTTACCTCAAGCTTAAGCACAAACCGCCCACTTTGGCGCGTTGCCCGATTCGGCGGATCCATGGATCGCTCTACTTAAGTAATACCACTACCCTTCAGAGCCCATCTGTTTACTGGTGCATCTCGTCCAGACAGCCACCCGCTGCAGACGGGCCGCTTGTTTCTGCCACAGCCATGTGCGAAGCAGAGTCTGCGGTCGTTGCGTCTCTGCATCACTGCATTCATGGATAAACTTACTTGGGTTCGTGCTGGGAAGCGATGTGGAGAGAGAGAGAGAGAGGGAGAGAGAGCCAAGCGCTCGTCACGTGTGTGCATGGAGCAACCTCAGAGGCCATTCGGCCATAAAACGGGACTGGGCCAGACAGGGCAAATGGGCATATAATCAGTTTCAGGGTCTGCACATGGGCTTATGCTGCTTGCGCGAGTCTCCAAAAGCTCGCCTCGCCTCGTTGAACCCTCTGTGACATCCTCGCCCCTACCGGCGTTTGCAAGGGCGCTCTCGGGGGTCCGCTGCCGAGCCCATCAGTACCCAAGCTGCCTCCCCCCATACCAGCACACCCACGTCGACAAACAACCCCCAACAACGCGCCCAATACCCACAGTCATGGATCTGAGCAGCTTGAAAGACCAAGTGAGCAATCTCACGCTCTACGACCTCAAGGCCGGATTCCGCAAAGCCCAAAATGGTATGCCCATCAGAGAGAAGCCAGCTGGCCATCGCTGACATGCTGCTTAGCCGTCATGAACTACACTGAGATGGAGGCCAAGGTGCGCGAGGCTACAAACAACGAACCATGGGGTAAGCAGCCTGTGCGCATCCTGTGAGCGGTTGCTAATGGCCAGCAAGGCGCCTCGTCGACTGCATTACAAGAGATTGCCAATGCGACGTTCAACTAGTACGTCTTGCTCATCAGAGGCCCGAAGAGTGTTGCTGACAGCGCAGCCAACTACTCAATGAGATCATGCCCATGATCTACAAGCGTTTCACGGAAAAGGCTTCGGAAGAGTGGCGACAGATCTACAAGGTACTTCCGACGCTCAATGGCACCACGCAAGCTGACAGTCTAGGCTTTGCAACTTCTCGAATACCTGATCAAACACGGCTCGGAGCGAGTAATTGATGATGCCCGTTCTCATGTGTCACTGCTCAAGATGCTGCGACAGTTCCACTACATCGACCAGAACGGCAAAGATCAGGGCATTAATGTACGGAACCGCGCCAAAGAACTGGCCGAGCTCCTCAGCGATGTCGACCGTATCCGAACCGAGCGCAAGAAGGCCCGCGCGAACCGGAACAAGTTTGGCGGCGTCGAAGGTGGAGCGGGCATGGGCGGCTTCTCTGGAAGTGGAGGCAGCAGATATGGTGGTTTTGGCAGCGAGTCGGCAGACTATGGTGGTTACAGAGGAGAGGTCTATGGAGATGGTGGTGGCTTCGGGGGCAATCAGTCAGGCTTCGCGGACACACAACAGCGACGGGAGCGATTCGACGAGTACGATGAGTACGACGAAGGTGAGAGCGCAAGCCCTGCGCCTGCACGAAGAAAAGAACCCGCAGCAAGCCGAAAAGAGGTCAAGAAGGAGGAGCCAAAGGCGAAGGCGCCAGAGCCAGTGGTCGATCTGCTGGCTTGGGATGATGAGCCTGCGCCAGCCTCAACCTCCGCTGGCAAGAAGCCTGTTACCGCTGCAAATGACGACTTTGGAGACGACGATGATTTCGACGACTTCCAGTCTGCAGCACCCGCGGTACCCGCAGCCAAGCCAGCTGCTGCGGCTTTCAACATGGCCCCTCCAGCGTCTACGTCCACCATCACTTCCTCGACCCAATTCGCCGCACCACAAGCTCAGTCTGCTTCACAGAACAACAACTTGAGCAACTTGTTTGCTACGGTCTCGCCACCACCTGCTGCAAACAAAATGAGCAGTCCACCATCTGTGGTTTCGCCCATCTCCCAGCCGCCCCAGCCATCCGGATACCAAGCAACAGGTCCAAACTACTTCACATCTGTACCTCAGCCCACCCCTCAGTCAGGAGCCTCGACACCTTCTACCATGTCCTCGGGCGGCCGCATTGGAGGTGGAGCTGCTCCCAAGAAAGCTGGAGGCGACGCCTTCGCCTCGTTGCTTGGTGGGGTTGCACCTAAGAAGGCTTCTACGCCCACGCAAAAGGTCACTATGGGTGATTTGGCCAAACAGAAGACGTCCCAAGGGCTATGGGGAGCTCCTGCATCTTCCGCTTCTAGCACGCCTGCTGCCCAAACACCACAGTCGGGCTCTAAGCCTAGCGGTGCCCTAGGTGACTTGTTGGGGTGAGCGATGCCATGGTATGTATGCATCATTCATGCACGACTGGCGTTGGGGGTACAAAATGGGGGCGCACTGCAACAGGGTAGTAAAGTTGATACTGTAGACCATTGAAATGCACAACGATCCGATTTTCCATAGCAATTGGCTTGCAAGCCCATGATGAATGAAGCCTTGAGTGTGTACCGCACAGAGCCTACGTTGCGTGCCATGTTGGTTCCCCGCAAATGCGGCGACTCTATTGGCTGCGGCAATGCCGTACCCCCCTGCGCACCTAGTAGTATTTCGAGCCTACCCTGCTGCAGCCAGGATCCATTCTGAGGCACAACATGGGAAACAACAGCCTCATCTCTTCTCGCTGTCCGAGCATGCTTCAATGCAGATCTCGAGATTTCTTGTTCGCATCGCATTGCTGCTGCTTCCTGTAGCTTTCATCGGCACAACGTGGTTGTACTTGTACCCAATCTTCCATGGCTGCGCGTTCCCTACTCCACCGTCCACACATCCGCAGCCCCTTGCGCCCTTTCGGCTCCTGTCACTCGGTGACCCGCAACTCGAAGGCGACTCGTCGCTGCCTGACCCCAACGCCCTCGTATTTCCATCTATCGAGTTCCTTGTGACTGATCTGCGTGACGCGGAAGATTTTGCGGAGCGGATCGATATTGCAAAAGAAGCCGCAAGGGGGGCTGTAAAAAACGCGCGGACATGGCTAGAGGGAAAGAGAAAGGAAGTTGATCTTTGGGGAAACGATCGCTATCTGGCGCATATTGTTAGGAGCTTGCGGTGGTGGACTCAACCGACACACATCAGTGTGCTGGGAGACTTGCTTGGGAGCCAATGGGTTACTGATGGCGAGTTCAGTAAACGTGCGGGAAGATACTGGAATACCGTCATGAAGGGACTAGAGAAAGTGCCAGATGCCATCTTTGGTGTTGAGCCTGAGTCGCCCAAGGAGGAGACAACGGAGTCAGCTGTAGAGCAGAATGCGGAACAAGCAGAAGAAGGCATAGGCGGAGATTCCGAGACAGCAGAGCCGACTATGCAGCAAACTGTGCAACAAGAAGACAAAGGCGGAGATGAAGAGGCAGAAGCAGTACCCGATAAGGAAGCGAAACCGGAGCGAAAAGCATATTGGGGTGGCACAAAAGAAGTGCTTGGCGCAGACACAGATTGGGAGAAGCGCGTAATCAACATCGCAGGAAACCATGATGTTGGATATGCAGGAGATATCGATCAGTCACGCATTGACCGGTTCGAGCGAGCCTTTGGTAGCGTCAACTGGGACATATGGTTTACACTACCCGATGCACTGCGCTCCAACGAGACGGCCGATGTATCAAGACGACACCCCGACAGACCACCAACCCTCCGCCTTGTCGTCCTGAATTCCATGAACCTGGACACGCCTGCTTGGTCCCCAGATCTACAGACTGAAACGTACGACTTCTTGAACTATATCATCTCCAGTTCACTTCCCGTCAATGACAAAACCCATGCGACCATCCTTCTCACGCACATTCCTCTGGAAAAGGAAGATGGCATATGCGTCGATAGTCCATACTTTGATTTTTTCGAAAGCGGACACGGACTGAAAGAGCAGAATATGCTTTCAGATCATTCTAGCAGAACAGTCTTGGAAAGTCTCTTTGGCATGAGCTGGAGGAGGTATGTCGCTGGTTTAGGAATGGGCAGAAGGGGCGTTATTGTCAATGGACATGATCACGCTGGTTGTGATGTCGTACATTACATCAGGCAACGCGGCGTCGAGGATACGTGTCAACCGGAAGCGATCATGGAGGAAGATGCATACTGGCTGACCAGGCCTGCTAACGAAACCATGATCGCCACACCAACGGAAATTGATGGCTCGGATCTCAATATAGTCGCTGCTAACGACACTATCGAGCAACACGCGCTGCATGATATAGACGCTGCGTCTGAAACTCCCACGGAGTCTTCTGAATCTACAGAAACGTCTACACCAGAGACTCCAACGCCGACATGGCGCGCCCGCCGCTTTCCGCACCGCCGTTACGAAATCACGCCCGATAATGAATGCACTGATATCAACGCCTCCCCTCACATCCGCGAGATCACACTGCGTAGTATGATGGGCGAGTACTCTGGTTACGCGGGTTTCCTGTCTGCCTGGTTTGACGAGCAAAAGGGTGAGAGGGGTGAATGGGTGTTTGAGTTTAGTACGTGCGGGCTTGGTGTACAACACTGGTGGTGGGGGATTCATATTGTGGATTTGGTGCTGGTCATTACTCTGCTTGGTGCTGTTGTTGCCCGAGTGGTGGAGCAGTTGGCAGTTGTGCAGAGTATTGAAGAGAGAAAGAAGTCTGTGGGGCTGAACAAAAGTGACGTGAAATCCAATGACAAGGAGACTACTATGTACAGTAGTAGTACAAACGGTAGAACGGCTTCAGTTAGTGGAGTTACGAAGCGACGGATATAGAGCCGTTGGTTGCATCTGTTGATACTATCGGAATACGCCAGAGCATGCTTCGAACCATTTGTAAAGTGTGACTGAAGTGCTGAGAAGAGACCATTTTTAGAGAGTAGGTGGATTGCAACAGAGTATTGGTGAGTTGAATGATAAGGCTGGTGCTCAGGTCTCAGTGATGCAAAAAGTCATGAGGGAGTGATAGGGTAGAAAGGCGGTCCAGGCAATACAATCATGATTATACTGAGAAGAAGAGTACCTTTGTTGACCCCCAGTTTGTTGAAACAGGTATTCAAAGGCGCGACATCATTGCTCTACTTGCTGTGTGCTCCCCATCTCTTGCGTCCTCTCTAATCAACTCTGCAGCCCCCTCTCCAATCCCATATGCCACCATCTGCGTATGTCCATTATTTACCTTCGGTATTGACGAAACATCTGCAACACGCAGGTTACGAACGCCACGTACGCGGAGCCGAGAATCAAGAACCGCATTCGCATCATCTGATTTACCCATCGCGCAAGTGCCTGAAGCATGGTAACCTAGACATAACTCGATTAGCTCCGGCCACTAAACAAATAAACATGCAAAATGACTTACAGGTCGTAGCATGCTCCCGAACATACCCCTCCCACTCCTCTCTCTTCTTGTACTCGTGATGCCTCGACCCTGGCGGCCAACTCCCCTTAACCACACTCTTCGTCGCACCGCCCTCCATCACAATCTCATTCGCAAACCGACACGCCTCACTCATAACAAGCATATCAAGCGGATGCTCCAGGTACCTGTGATCCACCACCGGATTCTCCTGTGCATCTTTCGATCTGAGCTTCACACTGCCCCTGCTATGCTGGTTAAATAGCAACGCGCACATGGCAAAAGCGTGCTTGTTGTCTACAGGAAAGTCAGTGTATTGCTTAGGGCCCCCGTACATTTCCGTGTTCCAAAACTCGACGTTGGGTTGTGTGGGTAGCAGGCCCATGGGGTCGCGGCCCGGTAGGCGGGGGGCGCTGGTCCAGAGGGGTGAGGAGGCGAGGCGCGAGTCAAGGCGGGCCCAGCTGAAGATGCCAAAGGGGAAGGTGGAGAGGACGCCGGTTTTCTTGTCTTTCCAAAGTTGGTAGGTGGCTTCTATGGCGTTGCCATGGTGGGCGAGGTGGTCGTTTGTTAGGTTTGGGGGGGAGACTTCATAGAAGATGAAGCAGAGCTGAGGGTTTGTGGGTTAGTAGATTTATACTTTACACAGTGATGGGAACATACGACGTGGTCCATGAGGTTCTTGCCGACACCGGGAAGATTGATGAGGCAGTCAATCTTGTGTTCTTCTAATTCGTCTTTTGGTCCGATTCCTGAACGCATAAGGATCGTTGGACTGCAGTATGCACCTGCTGCGATTATGACTTCTTTTCTCGCTCGGTACTCGGTCTTTTGGCCAGTTTTTGAAATAGTGGCAACGCCCGTTGCAGTAAGCTCGTCCCTGTCTTGACTCAGAATAACCTTATCAACAGTCACCTCGGTTTTGATCGTGATGTTGTCTCGTTTTCGATCTTTGGTGATAAAATCGGTGGCCATGGTTCGAATGCCCTGATGCACCGTTCGCGGAACATCACCACATCCATGTGCTGTTTCTCCAGTGGAAAACATGTCGGGACGATATGGAAGTCCTTTTTCTATCAGGCTTTCCCGCACGAGTTCTGAAATGGGTGCTAGGTCGTGTGGCTCGGTGTGAAGGGGACCCGATGTTCCATGGACTGAGATATCAGCTTTGTGCCAATCCTTCCCATGGAATGTTTCCGCCTAGTTCGAGGTCAGTTCATATCAGCCCTCGAGGTTGAATAGCATTCTCGCACCTTCTTCATGTACTGGAACATCTTATCACCAGTCCACTCGTCCAAACCCCAGTCGTCATAATCTTGTTTCGTCCCGCGGATACACAAAGTACCATTGACGCCACTCGAACCGCCAAGAAAACGACCTCTACTAACTTTGACTTGACGATTGTCGATCTTTTCCATGGGTTCCGTAACAATGTTCCAATCCGTCTCGCTGTCGAAGTTGTTGCTCCATCTGCATGCCGACTCAGCAAAACTTACCAGAAAGCAAGGGTTCAACTTACCCTCCTGCCATGTGAACATTTTCTAGATCTGCACTGTCCGGTCCTGCTTCCAATACCAGGACATTTACGTTGGGGTCTTCGGCAAGCCGGCCTGCTATCACGCAGCCAGACGTACCACCACTGACGATTGTAAGCTGATATTTCCATTGCGGACTTTCCCATCTTGCGTGTGTATCTGTATATGAAAATATGAAAGCCCCCTACCCACAGACTATGTAGTCGTAGACTTGTGTGGTGTCAACCGAGTTGATTCGTTGAACAGACATGATGGCGGTAATGCCACCTCCAACGCAAGAGAAGATGGAAGATCGTTCACAGGCCAACCTTAGCTTTGTATCTATTTAATGACTGAGTTTTATACTCTGTTCGGTTTACAGCCCCATATGCCGCGGAAAGATGCCGCAGACCATTTGCACGTGATTATGCACGCCACAAGGACGATCTGCCGGCTA